AAAAAAAAAAAAAAAAAAAAAAAAAAAGGAGTTTTAGATGAAACACAAATATGCTCTTATTATTGGATTCTGAGCTTCCTCTGTTCGCTCTTCTTAAACTAAGAAATCAAGGCGAAGAAAGACGACGAAAAAACTACAACAAACACACAGTCTTCAGTTGCAGAAGAAGAAAAAACGAATTTGGGGGTGAGAATTAGCGGACCCCCTTCCACAATTCCCGCTCTCCAGGTGAACTTCGCATTTCGAAACCCTACTTTTTCCCCGCTCTTCCCATCGCTTGCTTGTTCATGAATTTTGGAATCCTTGAACGTCTTTTTTTGTTATCCTTTTCGAATTTTGAGCTTCTAGGTTTCATGGATTTTCTTTGTTGGCTTACCCGATTTTGGCTTTTTATCTGGTCACGGATTCTGTTTGGAAAAAGAATGACGAGAATTGTTGTAGAACACTTCTATTAGATGATTTTTTAGTGGGTTCTTATTTTAAATTGGATGATTGTCTGTTTCGGTTGTGTCGATCGAATTACTTGGAACTAGTTATCAGATTATGATTGTACGGGCTGAAGTGACCGTTCTTCAGTCTAATGTTCATATCTGTATCCTGGTTTGTTGGGCATCAACCAGAAAGCAGAAGTTATTGGAGGACTGAGATGACTCTGTAGTGTCTGGTAAAATGGGGACATAATGAATTTCACATGTTATGTACGTCAATCTCGTCCAACTGGTGTGCACTTACCTTGTCCACTTCTGAAGGACTGAAGTTAAAAAATTTACCTTGTGGACTTTTTACTATTCGTTAGGTTGATCTCATCTTGGATTGATTACATATGCTTCATGTACTTTGCATCTAAATGCCATAAGTTGCTAATTGTTTTATTTGAAAATGGAATATTCATATCCAGTTGGTTTTTGGCCTCTCTGGTCTTGCTGCTGTTTTGATACCAGTGTCGTATGAGGGTTACTGGTTCCTGTCACCGTTCACAACTTTAGGGGTTTATGTTTTTTTTTTTTTTTACAATAATAATAAATAAATAAAATTTATCTATACAAATACTATTTTAAAAAAAATAATAATTTCATTGAACAAGTGAAATTATAAAAGAGTGGAGTGAAGTTAATCCTGAGGATAACAAAAGGTTCTGCTATATGCTACAAGGAGAACTGAAGTTGCAAGAGCTAAAGAAACGTAAATTTTATCCCTGGTAAGGAAACGAGAGGCCCCAAAGGATTTTCTTCTCTTTGTCAAATGGGTGGCCTTCAAGCTCAAAGGAGATGAAAGAAGTTGATGTTGAGAGTGCCAGCCTACTTCCAATTGAAAATATGAATGATGAAGCCCCATCGGCAAAACAAAAGGCGTGGAAGACAAGACTTTGAGATTTGATTTTTTTTTTCTTGGCTAAGTTCTTGCATTCAGAGAACAAGCTTGGGTTGCGAGTCCAATTTGGAAGCCTTCATTGAACATGAGTATTGATGATTTCATGATTAAACTCCCAAATATAGAACTTGGCTTTCTTGGGATTTTTGGATTGTCAAATAGCTTTGTAAATCTTCTTTCAGCTAATGGAAGTCAAAGATTAGGCTGTTATAAGATTAAACCCTGATTTGTTAACCACTCATCTCAATCTATCTAAAAGAGAGGTAAAGGGAAAATAGGAAAATAATGGAGAGAAGTCCATTCAAGAACCTCCTCATTTGCAACAACATTACAAACAGAGCTCATATTTGCCTCATTTCAAAGAAGACTAAAGTTGCAAGGTTAAATGATTTCAAACCCATTAAGTGTAATTAGCTTTCTTTATAAGATAATCGCCAAATTTCTCAATGAGTGCCTTAAGAAGGTGGTACCTTCTTTATTATGCGACTCTTATTTTGATAAGAAGAAACAGAGAAATTTCATTGATAAAGAGAAGATAGTGTAAAATAATATACCATGGACCTCGTGATCTAGGTGCTGGCAATAAATCTAAGCTAGTACCCATGTTATAGTCCCCCTTAAGTCTGTACAGTCTAATGTCTTGTGAGATCCCACATCGGTGGGAGAGGGGAACAATATCTGCTAGTGGTGGGCATGGGTTGTTACAAATGGTATTAGAGCTAAGCATCGGGCGTTGTGTCAGCGAGGACGTTGGACCCTGAAGAGGGGTGAATTGTGAGATCCCACATTGGTTGGAGAGGGGAACGAATCATTCTTTATAAGGGTGTGGAAACCTCTCCCTAGCAGACGCGTGTTAAAACCTTGAGGCTGATGATGATACGTAATGAGCCAAAGTAGATAATATCTGCAAGCGGTGGGCTTAGACTGTTACATGTCTCTTTTGAGGCATCAAATAAAATTTGAACCATATGAAGTAGATTAGCTAGGCCCTTGTGCACAATGACTTGTCCTAATCAAGTTAAGAAAAGGATTTTAGGTTATAATCACTTTTTCACTTGGATGAAGTTTTTGTTTCTGAAGTTTGTCTTTTTTTGCTTTTTTAAGAGTCGCTCTATTTGGGATTAGGGGATTTCCACTTTTCATGATTATACATGACTGAATGTTCTATTGTGCTTTGTGGGTTTCTTCTTCTTTTAATATAACTTTTAGGACTTCCCATCCTATTTTCTTTGGATAATTTTTTTGTAAATTATTTGTTCATTATTTTGTTTCTTACATGTGTATGTATGTATATATTCATGGGTCATCATGTTGGTCAAGAGAACAAACTATTGCCTAGATGTCTTCAAGGTCATGAAATTAACATCTAATGATAACTTAAGAGTCCTGAGATTTTTTATATGAAAATACTTTATGTTCAGATTGCTCCCTTGTTAGATTAGTTAAGATGTACATAAGTTGGCCTATACGCTCATGATTAGGGATAAAAATTGATAAAATGAAAATTCCTTTCACCAATAATGAACTAATGAGTTTTTGAGAATATTACTTAACCTTCAATATTCTGAATTTCTTTTGGTTATGGGTCTAGCTGTGCAATCATCCTGGCATCAACTAGGGCTTTCTTTTGTGTATGCATCCTTTATTGGAGTTAGCTTCAAAATAAAACCACTAGACCCTTGTCACATTATTCCTTGTACCCAATTCCATATCTATCCCAATGTCATAAAGCTGACAGATCCCCTTTCTGAAGTGTCAGGTTTCATTTGGTGTGCACTACCACCCCATGACTTCCTCTGTCCACGATTATTCTGGTAACTCGATCAGTCTCTTGTTCCTATTTTATGATGTTTGGTTTTATATTCTAGTTATATTTCAGTCTATGGTATTTTAATCCGTTTTTAAGTTCTCTATTTTTCTTTGCATCAGCACAAAATAGCATCTGTTCTGCAGTTTGCTTTTTGATCTTTTGGAAAGAGAAAATTAATATGCTTTGCTTTCTTTCTTCACTATGAATTATGTACATGTTTTGCCATGAATTATGTACATGTTATGTTATCTTTTTTTAATAGGAAACAGAACTTTCATTGAAAGGTCAATAATACAAAAGAATGGGAGGGGAGATAGATATCTGCATATTAGCAACTATCGAAGAGATAGAGTAATTACGAACAGCTTTTTAGGGTACATTTGTCATAAGTACTTTTTTTTAACTCCATTTTAAATTCTAGCAAAAAAAAAAAAAAAAAAAAAAAAAAAAAAAAAAAAAAAAAAAAAAAAAA